GCTGCCATGGGAACCACGTGAGTCGAAATTCTCGCTTCCCCTGTCTCCTCGTTCACCGCCGCCGCCGCTACCACCGACCCCGGCACCGGTGCTCCCGCCACCGCTGCCGCCACCGGAAACGCCGCCTGTTCCGCTGCCTCCTCCCCCGCTGCCGCCGCCGGATCCATGATCCTCTGAACTTCTGAAAGACGAAAAAACTCTGCTTAGTCATCGACCAGAGAACGGCCGTTAGTACTCGGGTCAATGAGAAGTCGCCACGAAATACATTCGTCACTCTTCCTCTTCAGGATTGTTTTATTTATTTAACAACTCATGCAGCGAAGAAGTACTGTTACAAATTGGATCTGCTTTAATTAAAGAAGAAATATACATTTGTTTTCTTCTGTTTTTAAAGCAGTATTATCCTGCTAGAGGAGTATTACCATCAGTTGTATTTTATTGCCTTTGGAATTGCGCGATAATTCACTTTGATGTAATAATCTTTTATTATTTTCAATCTGGATTTTATCGTCGTCATCTCATCGTTTGGTTCGTTACTTAATATTATTTGTCAATCAAAGAAGATTGACACAGCAAATATATTTCTTTAAAAAATGATGCTGAACCAAACTAATTTCATTTAATTCAGATTTCATCTATAGTTGCTTTTTAATTATGTGCAACATTAAAAAAATAGAATTTTCGTATTTGCTGTCTCATTCTTTTTATATAATTACACTATCATTGCAATACATTAGAATGTATGTCTAATTTCATATTTCATATGTATAATTGATCTTATTTGTTTTTCTTTGAAAATTAATATGATACTCGATTTATGTGACGAACCGACTTATTACAATGATAATTTAGATGTAAAACTAGATGAATTTCTATTAAAAAAAATTCATAATTAAAAACGGAAAAAGCAAGCACGCGTATAGACCTCGCTCAAAAATATGATGTAAATGATAAAAATATTGAAAAATGGAAATTATATCCATGAATATAAAGTGTTTAGTATAAATGCATTTGGTAGAAAAACGTTCGAAGTTGTCGAATAATAGAATTTACTTCACATTGAAAATCAATACTTATATTTCTTATAAAACTGATATTATTTTTCCTTAACATTAATATTGCAATACGGATAATCTTCAAGACGAAATAAAAAATACAAAATTTGGATGACTTTTATTTTAAGACTGCAAATAAATTGAAGAAGTCATATTTATTGTTTAACTTTAAGTACATTTTAATAGAACATTTAAATAATCATTAAGATTTATAGTATCCTTCAAAAACACTACAAAAAGATGTAAGTTAAATTAAGAATCTTAATTATAAAAAAAAACGCACTTTAGTTTTTAATAAGAAGAAACATTATATTTTCAATAAAAGCTCATTATCAAACGTTCTGTATAACTGTTGTGTTGGATACAAGAAAACTGTAACGTTCATGAACTTTGCGATGATAAAAGAAGTTAATTGCCTTTAGCTGTGCGCACAAAAATAAAATGATAACTCGTATTGTATCAGTCATACGAGAGAAAGCAAGAATAGACAACGATTAATAATAATAATAACACTGCAAAAATTCCAGGTTGAAATATTTAGACATTCCAGCGGAAAGTCCGAATATCGAAACGATACGAATATTTAGAACCAATGACGTATTTGCGTTTCTATCGCCCCTGGGCCTGCGAACCAATCTTCAACTTTTCTTATCTTTGCTGTCATTGTAATACTCATAATTTAGATTTTTCCAATTTTTCATTTTATTTAAATCCTCAATTTGACCCTAATTTAAAAATTATTTTATACACTAAACATATAAAATGTGAATCAAGTCAAATTCAAGTATCCTCATCAGTGTGAAGTTAAATTACATTCTTCGACAACTTCGAATAATTCTAAAATTGTTGGACAGGCGAAGTTATTTTGATATCGCGAATATATCAACAATGTTGTATCTCAGTCTGCGATTAAAAACAAAAGAAAAAACGAAATTTCGTGCTGTGAAATTTTACATAATCAAATGATATTCCGAAATCATTGATAATATACATTTGAATTTGGATTGGCTCAACTTCATTGGAAAAAATTCAAAATATTTAAATAATTGAAAAACTGACTGCTCGCACATTTTATAAAATAATTTTAACGAATAAAATATGTAGCAAAGAAACCTTTAATTGAAAACGGAAACCGAATGGTTCATATAATTGACAAATTTCGTTATCTTGATAGGACTTTATTCGATAACGTTGTTATAAATATGTTCTAGTACGCCTCGATCAAAAGTTGCGACTAAGCGATCGATCGTTGCAATAGGAACTCATCAAACGTATATTGAGTGATTACGTAAAAAGGATAATCCCCTGACATATTGGAGTACATCATGATGAATTTACTAATCATTTTAACAGCTCTTTTACATTTAATATTAATGTATGTCATCATCGAAAGATCATTAATACATGTACTTGAAGATACAACTCATTAAAAATTGTACGATTATCTGCTTAGGAAGTAAATTATTTCACAAAATATATATATTTTTTAGAAATTACAATATTAAAAATCATTTTTTTTCAAGATTATCTGCCATAAACAAATTTTTCATTTGTTTGCAAAAAAGAGTGGAAATAATATATTTCTATTCCTTTATAATCAGCTATTACATCAGAATTGTATTTTAAAATTAATATTACAAAATGTTAATGATTCAAAATATTCAAACTCATTTTCTGGGAAATTTTGTTCTTTCAATTGTCATAGCAAATGAGCGATATAATAAATTGTTTCATTTCATAGAAAATTAGGTCACCGTCATGCACATTCTGATATTTAACGTTTTGCGCCAGCGGTAAGTACAGTCGACGTTGCGGAAACGTCTTCGCATCCGAGCAATCTGATGAGTACAAAAGAAATCACCATCCAACATAAATATCTCAATCCCGGCATTCATATACGGCCAAGTGAGACGAACAGAGGTGATTGAGATGGGACGAGTCGGGCCGGGCTCGTAAATTCCTGACTACGCTACTGACAGTTAACGCTCTCTCCCCCCTCCTCCTCCGCACGCCCTTCCCGCTACAATCGTCACGCTTCGACAGTTACTGCTCGGGCGATAGCGCCCGCGCAACCGTCGGGACGTGGCAACATCGCCAGCGACCACGTCGTCACGGTCACCTGACTTTTCGTGGAAATGCGACGCCGCTATACTCTCCTCGGTCGCGCGCGCGTGAATATAGGCGTGCAGGCGTGTAGCGTGCACGCACGACCTTTTTTCCTCCTTTTTTTTCCCGCTACTCCTCTCTCTTCCTCTATCTATATCTTTTTCTCTTTCTCTGCCTCTCTCTCTCTCTCTCCCTCTCCCTCTTCCCCGTTCTTTCCTCCATCATGAGATCGATCGATTGAAGGCAAGTTGCGACTCCTCCGAACGCGACACGCGATACGCTTTAACTTCAAGTATGTTGCCGCGTGCCGTCGATGCCACGGAGAAAGTGCAGCATACTATCTATTTAGCGTAGAACACGCAATTCGTCAAATATGCAGTAAATAGACGAGGACGACTGCGATGTAGGTGTGACGTCAGAAAACACGGAGCGTGAATGCGTGGCGCGGCAAAAAAAAAAAGAGAAAGATTACGTTACATATTGGAGCCAAAATAAATACGCCAGTGGTTCTCAACTTGAAAAATCACACATGGATTCTATATTATTCGAATATATCTACTTTAGCTACGTGACTAGAGGAATATAAGCACTTGGATTATTGTAAACGAAGATGCCTTTAAAGCAAACCGCAAATCTCATCGATGCGGACGTAAGTTGAATTAATTTACGATTATCCTGAAATTATATTAATAATTCTATTGGTACTTTAATGGATCTTTTGTCACATCGAAAACATTTTATAAACACATCATAGTGTAATTTATTAGAAATGTGCCTTTTCTTTTTAGCTAAACTTCTTTTATCTTCCTTTTTTCTAATGGAATCTAAAAATTCGTGCAAATCGTTTAAAAAAAAATGCAATGACATATGCTACGTTACGTGAGCGAATTAGTTTAATAATTGACACGTTTTAAAATGTAATTTTTTAATTTTAGCTTCTCTATCGTAACAATATACTAAGGATAACCTAATAGAAGGTCGAAATATCTGATTATTATTATTACATGTATAGCATATATATAATTAACATTGAATTATTTAAGTATTAAAGATCCAGCTTCGACTGTTATAGGCATTTAATTTCTAGTTCTTATTAGTTTCGTTCTCATATGTACAGTTTGAAATAAGATTCTTATTATTATTATCATTATTATTGTATAAGATTATTTTATAAAGATTGCTTTTCACAATATCTTGTGTAGGCTTTCATACTCCTTATTTAGCAAATTGATTTTCCTTTTTCTCCAACGTGGAAAGAAAAGGAGGAAAATTGAACCGTGAAGTTCAGCTAAAAAGAATAAGTCTATAGAGTGATACTTTTGATACCAGTTTTAGCACTGTGCAAATTGCATATTACGTATATTTATCCATAATTTATCACGAGGCATCGTATCTCCGAATATATTTGAAATTGTGTTGCTGAGCAGTTGATTTCGCTTTGTGTACTGTTCTAATATTAACTTAGTAAGAGAGAGAAATAGAACGAATGAACGAAAGAGAGAGAGAGAGAGAGAAAATATATATGTGTATGTGCGTTGTGTACCTACTATGTTAAAAGCCAAAGATAATACGGATAACGATCGGCATGCAACGAAGCGAACATTAATAATGCGTTATTATAACGTACGTTATACGTGAAGCTTAACATTACAACTGACTGTTTACATCAGCAAAAAGAAATGTATGTGCCCCCTCCTCCTACGTGTTTACTGAAATCGATGCAACGATAGCACTATATAGCATTAAACAACAATTGCGATAATATGATTAATTCTTGAAACTGTAAAAAACAGCATGATTCCTGGAAAATAGGAACGCAATAGATAATAACTAAATGGTATGATTTTTCGACGAATCTCCCATTATCCCCATTATCTTTAACGATTTCAAGTTGGTAGACTTATTAATTTTGAGGCTATACATTAATAGTATCATAAAATCATAATTTTAGTTCATTTGATAATGCACAGACGGTAATCAAATTGATAGTTTGTTGAATTAGTCCCTGTAATATAATAAGAGTTAGGAACTGCCGCCATGTATAATCAAATTAACGTTGAAATTATCCTAGAAAATACAAATCTAGGGAATAATTAAACAATTCGAATCCATTCTGAACAATTTCATAATACATGTCATGTTAGATACCTAACATACATGTATGATGATGTTAAGATTGAGAGACGTAAGTCTTAAAAACGTCTTAAAGACTGTTTTGATTTTAAATATGCGTGCTATCTAGGCATTTTTTTTTTTAATTTGAGCCAAAGTTATTCTGACTGAGCCAAATCATGAATAAAAATTAAAATACTTAAGAATATGTGAATCTCTAACAGTGATTCTCGATCAGATAAAAAGTTAGGAGACAAATGATTCAAAGATTTGTGTAATTCATTCGTAGATCATACATATGAATTTTGCTAGAAAGATAATAGAAAGACCATTTGTCCATAACGACGTTTCATTGTCGTCTTTGTACCTGCTTCCTGTGACGTGCGATTTAATTAATTCCTAGGACGTGACTCATCGTAAACCGGCACTTGTACGTGCCACTTTGAGGCTGAGAATATCTTTCTATTCTTAGATAAGATTAATTTGGAGGAAAAGGCACGATTGAGAATATTTCTATATCGATCGAAAGGATGCAGCCGAAATAATTTACCGAAATTAATTCTTACTAATACGTTGTCATATTATAGTTAGAATTTACAATAAAAATGTAATTAAAAATTGCGATGTTATTTGAAATCTATATTTCAAAGCTTCATCTAAGGCCGCTATTTATAGTCTGTATTTATTTGAAGTTTTAAGTAATATCTTAAAATACCATCTTAAGTAATATCTTAAAATACCGATACAGCTCTATGATTGGTTCATGACATTTTAAGTACTTAAGACGGTCTTAAATATAAAAATCGACTATAAAACCAGCTTAAGAACTTTCTGCTTTAAACGATTATTAAAAAAACAGGATAGGAATATTCTCTCAACCATTGAAACTGTTATTTCCGCATGACGAATGTCATTGCCATATTATCTGTGTTATAATCAAAAATTAATTTAATGCACAACTCTAACAGTTACAGTGATTTATTACATCGACAAGAGAACTCATCTATGGATTATCTTATTTATAGCAAAATGATAGAAAGCATTATATTACGTCACATTGCTACTGCGTATAATGTGTATCTTCCTATTCTTCAAAAAATACACATCTCTTTCTGTTGAGATATAATCCCACGTATCTGTTGCGTTCTTGTTATTCACACGCTATGTAATTCCATTTCAAAAAAGACTCGACTATGTATCGAGTCAGCTGTATGGAAAATCAATACTCCGGGAAAATCAATAGCGGCAAATGAAAATTTATTCAACTAGAGTTTCTATATGATAATAGTTAAACAAAAGAGATAAGATTTTTTTATCGGTTACCTAAATTCGCCATATGTAATAGCCAAGACAAGCACAAATTTTTAATATATTTCAAAAAAGAAGAAATAATAGTTAGCACTGAAGTGTGTGTTATAATCGAAAACAGTGTCATTTTGTAATATCAGTAAATATTTAATTTTATATTTCGTGTATTTTTTACCATATATGAATAAAATATTTAGGCATCTAACAGGACACGTTATGGAACTGTTCGGAATGGATTCCGATCAGAATTGTTATTATTTCTAGATTTCTTTCTTGTTTTCATAAGGAAACTATTGGATAATTTCAACGTTAATTTATAGCGAATTTGATTGAATGCACCCAGTATACATTGATGCACTGTTAAAACTGTCGTATGCAAATGATGTAAAAATGTGTGCGTGTGTGTGTGTGTGTGTTAAATATAAATATAAAAATGAATTAAACCATGAACTCTTTAACATATTTTATTGTGCTGTTAAGTAAAATCTGCATTTTATAATTAGTATGCATACTTTAATATGCACTAGTGCGTCCAACCGAATTCACTGTTAGCTATATGGCCACAGTTTGTCCTAAATACGAGAGCATAGAGTCTTGCATAACGCACAATGCATAAAAAAATGAACCAATCAAGGTCCTTCATTTTCTTCCTTTCCATAAAATAACAGACTCTTTTTATTAGTTTACTTTTCTTAGGCTTTATGCATTATACGTTATGCAGATCTGTGCTCTGGCCTTAACTCTTATTGTATTCTAATTCAACAAATTATCAATTTTGTAAACATTAGGAATCAGAGAGAGTCATTGCTTCTTGTGGACGTCCTGCGACTGACTTCGTAATTAATAACATCCATTTAAATCATTATTGCTTATTAGGGTTAGATTGTATTTAAATCGATGTATTCTTTATTATTTCATGAGTATAAGAATACTCTAGTATTTTCATAGATATAATAAATAACATAATAAATATATTATAGATATAATAAATAACATAATAAATATAGACTCCACATTCCCTGCAGATCTCAGCATCTGTGCTCCATTAGAAAGAATTGAGCATATCAGTATATCTCTTCAAAATGATTCTTTAGAGAAAGAAAGAGCGATATAATTCAAGTTATCTCATTTCTTCTAAACCAATAGTACCAACTTCATAGAAATGCGCAATCTATTCTTATTATGTCTATGTGTACGTAATTTTGTATCTTTCGAGCTTCCCCTTTTTCCAAAACTGGGTTGTCAGAAATTCCTTATCCTAAAATTCCATAATTTTTTCTCGATTTCTCTGGTATCTAGTTTTGTAGCAGCTCTGCAAGAGTATCCTGAGTCGAATGTTGTGGCGGCTCACACAGGAACTTGTAATGAGCAAACTTACCCGTGAGAGGGGAACCTGTGCTGAAGATGTTGTGGCTCGTAGTACTGTGTAGTGAGAGCTCGTTCGTCCAGCGTATGCTCAGTCGCGTGAGCCTTCGCTGCGGACTTGATATCCATGAACGCCACCGTCGCTGCCGCACCCCCGCTGGTCGAGGAACCGCCGCTCCCGCCACCGCCGCCGCTGCCTGAACTGGAACCGGAACCGCCCTCATTGCTTTCGCCAAGGGAACTGCTGGAACCTCCGTCCACAGGGCACTCTTCGCCCCGTGGCAGCAGCTTGACGCTCTGCACGCGTCCATACCTGAAACACCATTAATCTTCATGTAACAAATGTCAACGCCATTAGCAAGAGGACACGAGTTCAATCAAGAATGATTTCGTCAGATGTTTTCCGACTTCGCTTAATTTAATCGTGAGAAGTGATATGAGAAATTTTATTCTTAAAATATCGCTTACGGTTATTTAATTGCATCATTTTCAAGCCAATATCGAAATTGTTGATATTAGCTTGATTAATAGCTTTGATATTGAGCACTTAGCAGTCTGACTGCTATTGCAAAGTGCAGCTTTCGTGAAAAATATTACAAATATAATAAACAAATTCAGGCCTCATGTTTTTATAGGGACTTTATAGGTATTTTCAATATACCTATTCCCGCGCGTGGAATGTGCCCTCCATCAGCAAACATTAGCTAGTTCCTACGAATATGGCAACGTCGCGATTCTATGTGCGGCAACTGCGCTGAAGGGATCTTGCTGGGATCGTTTAGGATTTCGAAGAAAGAAGGAAAGATCCGCGAAGCACAGAGACCCCGTAATCCTCTACCTCTAGAAAACTCTCTCGATACTCGATGCGAGGCACAGGAAATTAAGACCAAAGCAAAGGAAAAAGAGAGAAAGATAGAAGAGAGACGATCCAGAGGAAAAGAGACAACAGAAGAAGCGAAAAAGAAAAAGATGAGACCTCGATCGAAGTCTTCCTCCGCTACGTTCAGATCAGTACAGATAAAAATCGTCGCGGATGTTTTTGTAGGGAGAGACCATGACGGCTCTCGCCGAGTGACTCGACTCACGGTAACACGAAAGAGAGAAAGAGAGGGGGAGAGAGAGAGAGAGAGAGAGGAGGAAGCAGTACGAAAGAAATGACATATAAATCTATAAGGTGTCCAAAGAAAACGTCAGCTTTAATGTACCGCGCTTCATCGATTACATCAAGTTAACGGCACAGCGATTCGTGCTGGTTAGTCTATGCGGATTTACTCAAAATATCAGACTGCTACGAAAAAAAACACATCTTCCAATCATGAATAAAATTCATTTCGTATCAGATCCACAGCGATTTCGACCAAATTTCGATTAACTTAAGCGGCAGTTAATCGACTGGCAGAATCGCTAATGCCCATTTTTATCAATGTAGATTAACTTTAATCTCGATTCAACTTACTCTTTATCTTTTTCTTATTATTAGAACTAGAAAAAGATGAAAAGTTAGTTGAACCGAGATTAAAATTAAACTACATTGGTAGAAACGGATATCAGACAAAATCTCTGATATATACAATTCTGTACAACGATTTATTCTCTAATCTTTTTTCGATATATTATTAAACATAATTCTATTTATTAATTTAATAATTTTATTTGTATTATATATACACTGTTAAATCTATAGTGTCAAATTTAACCTAACGTGAGTCGCCACTGCTCCTACCAAATATATCATTATTTTTTATCAAAACGATAGTTAAATTTGATTCTATATCGTGTCAATTTGACACTCTATAATATCAAATTGACACTGTATAGTGTCAAATATAACCATTCTTTTAGTATAAAATAATGATATGATAGAGTAGAAGCAGTGGCGACTCATGTTAAGTTAAATTTGACACTATAGATTCAACACTGTATACTTACTTAATAAAGTTATTTTATTCGTATTATATATCTATACTTAATAAAGTTGATTAAGTTAATCGGTACTTATTTGAAATCATCAATGTTAAATAAAAGTCTAAATTGTATCATGTTTATGGATAAGTACATGTGATAATTTTAGTGTTTAAATGTTGTTATAACAGATAAAGTGCTGCATAGTTGCAAGATTTAATGCAACATGATGCCAGACAGATTAAAATTTTAATTCTTTTATGCTTCTACGTTCGTAATTTTTTGAGATAAACATTTATCTGAGAATTTTGCATTTTCTGCCTAAAAATTTAACAATAGAGTCGAATAGAGAGCGGGGAAAGTTTTTCCAGGATGTAAACGTAGCGCCTGGCAGCGCCAATATCGATTTATTCCCCCGATTGCACGCTGCGCTATTCTGCCGTTCCATTGGGAAGCACCGATATCTTTTGCGTTTCGCGTCTCGGCCTGGCCTCGGCGCAATTTTGAATCGGACCAAGTTTCGAACGAAGGGCAAAAGGGAAGAGACTAGGAGAGGAACAAACGCAGAGCGAGAGATCTCGTTTTCAGGCCCCTGTAGTAGAGAACTTAGGATATTGAATTTCGCACGAAATTAAAGAAAACAAAGAGTCCGGGAAGTTGTTTCTGGCACACCCTGTGTGCAGAGAGAGAGAGCGCTCCGGTGGAGGCGATATCGCCAAGTAGGGGAGATTCATCGTCATGGTGGGACGAGGTACGCACCGGTTGGCCGCTCTGAAAGGAAACGCCGCACGCAAGCGCAAACACCAGGACGTTCGGGGACTCTCCCGGGGAGTCGTTCGTCTAATCTCGCGTGAGTCGCACGTATCTACTCTGCTCTCCCGAAGGACTTCTCTGCCATTTAGCCGTATAACTTCCACTGCGTATTCTCCATAAGCGTATATCATCGTAGGGGGGAAAAAAAAAGATAACTGTAGAAAGAGAGCTCCTACGCATCACGCGGGACGAAGTCGTATCGTATGATCGTTTCGCGCAGTTTAGACGGCGAGAGGGAATGAGGGTTGTGCCCCGAGATCTGGACGGATTACCTGCAGGGATATTTTACTAGGGTCCTCTACGAATTGAAGAGCGCTGGAGGCTAGTTTCTCCAGACTAATAGAAACGAAAAGAGTCTCGAAAAAGGCAGCGAGCGTGTCGTCGATGTCTGGCATATGTTTCTCCTCTCGGTGTCGACCGCTCGAACGGGGCGTGGTCCCATCTTTGTCGTTCTATCGACTAGAAAAGGGCTTTTTTTTGCGTTTTCTCGTTGTTGTTCGTTATTGTCGATAATGTTCAAATACTTTTCGTGTAGTTTCGATGAATCGATCATTAACGAGTGGGGGGAAGAGAGAGAGAAAAAAAAGAAATCTCTCATTATCGAGAATTCGAGTATCGAGAATTATTTTTGGAATCTCGATCGTTCCTCCGACGAGGAAGGCAGGAGAAGAAGCAAGCGAACGCGTAATCTTGCCACGTATGCATCTGGAAGAACGAACGCACGCACGAAATGGCGGACGAGCTGTGGCGACTCACCGCTCTCTCGTACAATCGCGCTTCGTTCTCCCTCGCTTTCGTTTCTCCCATGTAGGAAAACCGATATTTTACGCACGAGACGTTTTACTGTGTGATCTGTGCTGTGTTCTCTGGATCCTCCTATCGTAGCGAGTTCCTGAGACTGTGCGAATCATTCTCGTTGCTGCATTATCCTCGACGCGTTGCACAAGTGAACCCAGTGAATGCCGTAGTTGCGATATCCCGTGCTCGAAACGGAATCTCCGGATGCTGGTGCTGCGAAGACTCACGCGAAACTCCGTTTCGAGAAGCTTCGAGGGTTTCGAAACTTTTCGTCTATTCATGGTCGAATCTTATATTTTAAGACCATCTTAAGTGCAGTCTTAAGATGTTACAAACCAATCACAGGCCAATATTGATAATCGATTCTTGTATTTAAGAGTTGAGACTGTCTGAAGTACAATCTTAAGATGTCGTGAACCAATCAGAGAGTCGTATTAATACATTACTTAAGACGGTCTTGAAATAAGAACGGACTATATGGATATCGACCGCAGAGCAGTATCAGCCTCTTCAGACGTTACTCAAGATGGTCTTGAAATAAGAACGGACTATGAATATCGGCCTATGACCTCCCTCAATGACGAGAGATACGAGAGAGATACGACATGACTTCATCTCATCGATTAGTGTCGAGTTCCTGATATAGGAAAACTAAGCAAAAGTTTCTGGTTTATATAATTAAATATTTTCATATCGATTGCAAATCTCTCCATTCCCTCGACAAATTGCGAAACTGCATAGCCAAAGATCTCGGTCGCAACGAACTGCGCGATTCGTCAACTTATCGCCACCGTCTGGGACATCTTGGGCGAAACGCACTGGGGATGTGGCGCATTTTCATCAGATCGAAAGAAAATTTTCTCGCTAGCTAGCGCACTGGAACCGCGACCGCGTTCTGCTCCTCAGCTCGACGAGAGCCGTTGCCTCTCTTTCCTTCCTCGTTCTTACCGTCCACCCCTCGGACCCTCGCACCCATCCCCACGTTTCCTAATAAAAAAAAGGCACGCATACACGGAGATACGTTCGTCGGCGCGCTTTGGTACAAGTTTCACACACAACGAGCGCCCCTTTTCTACGTCGTTCGTATGAGTGAAAGCGGGTGAAGGGAGGGAGATTAGGGGGAGGGGGCCTGAGGATGTGTGTGTATGTGTGTGTGTGTGTGTGTGCGCGAGTCAGTGGGGAAACGAGAGGGGTGGTAACACGACGTGAGGGAAGAGGGTAATGGCGGAGAGGAAAGCCGCCGAGTGCCACGATGGCTGGACGGCTTGCTTGCCTGGCGAGCGAGCCGTGAATCGCATCCCTTCCCCTCCAACATCGCTCCCGCCGGTTTCCTATCCTCCCTTCCTTTCCCGTGTCCCTTCCTCATCCCCCTAGAAATGCTCATCGAGGAATTTTACTCGGGCAGACTCGCTCCCAGGCTTGGGTTCCCCCCTGTTTCTGGTCGACGCACGACGACGGGTTCTGCTTTATGTGGCGGCATTAGCATGGGGTCTCCATAAACCGAAGAAGTCTCTAGGTCAGCGCCGTGTTCTCCTATGCTACAAAAACGCCAGTTCTCGCTCGTTCGTCATTCTGGGTTGGGTAATACCTCTCTCTACCGTGCTAGGCCATTTGAAACGCTACTAATAAAGATCGCGCCCAATGGAGAACGATAGTCTCTATCGCGATTCTAGCGTGACGTTTCCAGCAACGCCTGGCAGAACGATTGTCGAGCGTAATGTCTTCCCGACTCCAAAGAAGACTATACGATCGAAATAAATGGAAAAACATACCGCGTCAGCTTTACGAGGGGAACGGTAA